GGGATGAGCCCAAGCCGGGGCCAGGCACCACTCCCGCTGTGCCTGCCACCACCACTGCAGCTGCACTCACCAGCTGTGAACCTGGCTTCTGACTGAGCTGTGCTCCCACTGTGGGAGCACACTGACCACCAAGGGGCAGCTCCTGCATTGAGCATCTGTCCCCTGGTGGTCAGTGTGTGTCATAGCAACTGGTGGTTGGGTCGTAATGGTCACTTAGGCTTTTATATATATAGATTATAGGTGTGTGTGTAACTACTTTTTATTTTATCCTCCCCCATCCTGTCTAATAAAGAGGGAATATGCTAATTGACCCTCACGCTGTTCCAAAGGTGGTGGCGCCCACAGCCAATAAGGAGGGAATATGCTAATTGACTGCCACACCCTCAAAGATGATGGCGCCCACAGCCAATAAGGAGGGAGTATGCTAATTGACTGCCATGCCCTCAAAGATGGTGGCGTCCACAGCCAATAAGGAGGGAATATGCTAATTGACTGTCACACCCTCAAAGATGGCGGCATCCAGTCCCCTCGGTCCCATTGGGGCGGCAGGTGCATGGCAAGGCCGGGCCTGGCTGCTCTGCGCACCTGCCTCTAGAGTCTCCCAGCCCCCTCAACCCCCCAGCCACCCAGGGCCAGCCTGAGGTGCAGGCAAGCCTCAGATGGTGGCTGCCCAGCCGCCCAGGGCCACCCAAGGCTCAGGTAACCAGGGCCAGCCGAGGCTTGCGCTGCCGGCAGTGGCAGCAGCAGAGGTGTGATGGGGGTGTTGCCTTCCCCTGATCACCGGGTCACCTCCCGCCCCTGAGGGCTCCTGGACTGTGAGAGGGGGCAAACCAGGCTGAGTGACACCCCTCCCCCCCTGCCCCATGCACGAATTTCGTGCACTGGGCCTCTAGTAGTTTAATAAGCTCCTACATTGCTGGGATCATATCTTACTGATGACCTTTTGCCAGTGCCAGCCTACCTAGCTACTTCATTAGCAAGAATGAAAACTGTATATTGACCAGTAATCAGTTTTGTGGCTTGGTGTTGCTGTTTTGTCTAGGAAATGCAATCAGCAACATTTTAAGTAGAGTTCTTTGTACTTTGTATCTGCTTTTTGAGGACAGGTATTTCTTAAGTCAGCAAGAAAATTAAGTACAACAGGAACTTCATTAAAGCCACAATTTAAGATACCAAAATGTGAAAGGTTTCTAACTTTACCCTGAACATTTTGCATATATCATTAGTCACTGTTAGACATTTTGATCTTGCTTAATATAGTTCAGTGCTGAATGTGTATTTTAATGTACAAGTTTTTGACATCAACATTTTTAACTTTCATCTAATTTATAATATTAACTTTCAGTTAATGGAAATATTTGTCTCTATAGATTGTGGTTTGAAACTGCTAGTAAGTTCAGGCAGTAATACATGATCTTTAGCTCCTAAACCATGAGTAGTAGGTTTCATTTTGTGTTAAGATCTATGTCTGAATTGAAAGGGGTCAAAGTGTCTGAATGGAGAATAAAGTAGTAGAATGCTAATCAGAAAATGAAAGTACTAGACTCAGTCCTTCCATTATTAATGTACACTATATTCTGTAATCTAAATGCATTGTAGGTATTCATTGTTTTTAAAATTGGTGGTAATAGCCCCTGCTACTCAATAGTTTGTCAAGTATTTCATCACCACTATTTTGAGAATGTTTTAACTTTGTGTAGCTTGTTGAATTAGCTATCTGTTATCCCTGTTTGATTGATGAAGAAATTGAGACTTAGAGAAATAAAGTCACTCAACATTTGGCTAGCAGTAAAATAAGTAATATATTTGGAGACCCCAGAATCTACCACACAGTTAAGACCTTTAGCTGCAATCATGCTGTGGTATGATTTTGTTTAAAGGACTCTGCATAAATGCACTGATGTTATTATCAAAGAGTTACCTTGAATGTCACTATTATATATATATTAGGATGGTGTTTGATAACAGATGAAAAGGCGTTTGATGTTCATTACCTTTTCTAAAAAACATATTTTTATTGATTTCAAAGAGGAAGGGAGAGGGAGAGGCAGAAACACCAATGATGAGGGAGAATCATTGATTGGTTGCCTCCAGCACACCCCACACTGGGGATCGAGCCCACAACTGGGCATATGCCCTGACTGGGAATCGAACTATGACCTTCCGGTTCATAGGTCAACACTTAACCACTGAGCTATGTGTGCCAGGCTCAATACTTTTTCCAAGTGAATAATTTTGAAGGCTATCACTAGTACTTTTCTGTTTTTAAAATTTTGCTTTAAACCAATGTCTTATTTCAAAATAATTTTAAAGACATGATTAACTGATGTTAAATGTTCATATCCTTGAGTTATATAATTAAATTTTTAATTCAATACTTGATTAACAAATAATTCTGGATTTTCTGTCTTTATTTACAGAATGGTAAATAACGCTGATCATCTCTAGAAAGGATATTGCTTCACCTCATGTAAAGTATGCTCAATTCCCTCCCAGTGGTGTAAGTATCTAGTCCTTCACTTAATTTTTGTCTTCTCAATTATTTTTAATAAAGTTACAAACCATTATGATGATTATTAAAAAAAGATAGCAGACAGAAGAACCAAGATGGCAGCGTAAGGTACAGACCTGTGCGTGCTGCCTCCCACAACAACATTGAGACTACCAACTGTAAAACAAACAGTTTTCATTCAGAACCATGGGAAAGCTGGCCCAGTGGAAGCTCTACAACTGGAAGGAAAGAAAGAAGAGCATTGAGACTGAGTAGGTTGTGCAGAGGCTCCAAGAACGGAGGTACGGAGTCGCATGCCAGGCAGACTGAAACTGGATGCGCGGTTTTTTTCAATTAGAAGGGGTTGCAGACTTTCGAGTCCACTGAGCTGGTTTGGGGCGGAATTCTGAGGCCCCAGACCCCTACTGGGAGAGGCGGGACGGCCTTGCAACGGGCTGGAGAGTGAGAGTAGCTGTCTCACGGAGCTGCTCGCTGGCACTCAGGGACGCGAGACGCTGAGTCACAGAGAGGCGAGGAGGCATGGAGACGCCATTGCCCCTTGCTCCACCCTGGTGATTCCTGGGGACCCCGCCCTACTCAATTTACATCCCCACCCAAGCTGTGCTAGTGGCACAAGGAGAACCACCGGCACTTTTGCAGCCCAGCCCAGCAGAATGCAGATTTCAACTCCTCAAGAAGCAGAATCAGGTTCGGAGGAAGCCGGAGCCAGACCCGGCTGGGCCGGCGACGTAGAACCGCTGTACCAGCAAACGCACAGGCAGGTCCACCAGATCCAGTCTCACATGGGATGCTGGGAGACGGCAGACAGACAGTCTCTGCACTTGGTAGAAAACGAAATCCAAGCAAGCATACCAGATATTCAGCCACCAGGAACGCCGGGAGATTTTGTCCAGCAAGGAGCCGCCCAACAAAGACAGAATGCCAAACTTCGTGTTGCAGAGATGGCCCCTGTGAGGCTGAGACGGCCCCAGTGAGGCTGAGGTGGGCCCTGTGGGGCTGGGACGGCCCCTGAGAGGCTGGGATGGCCACCATGAGGGAGGTTGCGATGGCCCCGGTGAGGCTGCAACGGCCCTGGTGAGGTTGAAACGGCCCCAGTGGGGTTGAGACGGCTCCTGTGGGGTTGGGACGGCCCCTGTGGGGTTGAGACGGCCCCGGTGATGTTGAATCGGCATCGGTGAGGTTGAATCAGCACCGGTGAAGTCGAAATGGCCCCGGTGAGGTTGAATCAGCCCCGGACACCCCCGCTGAGGTTGAAATGGCCCTGGTGAGTTTGAAGCGTCCCTGGTGAGGCTGAGACGGCCCCTGTGAGGTTGAGACGGCCCAGAGAGCTTGCGACGGCCCCAGTAAGCTTGCAACAGCCCCAGTGAGGTTGAAACGGCCCCTGTGAGGTTGAGACGGCACCAGTGAGGCTGAGACGGCTCCTGTGAGGCTGAGACGGCCCTTGTGAATCTGGGACGGCCCCGGTGAGGTTGAGATGGCACTGGTGAGGCTGAGACAGCCCTTGTGAGGCTGAGACGGCCCTTGTGAGGCTGGGATGGCCCCTGTGAGGCTGAGATGGCCCCTGTGAAACTGAGATGGCCCCTGTGAAACTGAGACGGCCCCTGGGAAGCTGAGAAAAATACCACATGAACTCACTCATTTATGGATAATAAGGACCATTATACATTGATGAACAAAAATGGATACAGAGGCAGAGCAGCATTGAGCAGAATGTCAAACTACAGTGGGAACCTGGGGAGGGTTGGCAGGGGGGGTGGTAGGAGATCAACCGAAGGACTTATATGCATGCATATGAGAATAACTAATGGACACAAGACACTGGGGGGTCGGGGAAGCCGGGGGAATGTCAAGTGGGGGGGGGGGAGAAAGGAGACATGTGTAATACTCTTTGTAATACTTCAAGAAATAAAAAGAAAATGATAGCAGACATTTGTAGATTGAAAGAATTTTTTTCATAATAATGTGGTAGTTTCTTTGGTGAATTTTCAAATCTATCAACTTTCTCTTTTACAATTTCTGTTTTTAACTTTGAAGTCTGACATTAAGTTTTAATTGAACATAAAATTACTCTGCTTATTATTTTAATCTGCTTAACAGCCTGAAACACGAAATAGATATTTAGCCATTTGAAAGAGCTAGTGTTAGATGTTAGATTCCTTGTGACAAGCAGAATATTAGAAGCATATTAACCTTAATACTGCCTTTTATGTGCAAACTCCTAGCACCTTAACCGTTTTCCTTTACCTACTGGGGATAAGCATGTAGTTAAGCCTGTTAGCTGATGTAGTTGCTAGCTTTTCTTTCGAGTCAGGCAAAAAATACCAGTACAAATTGAGATAGTGGTATTATGTTGAGAGGTTATTTTGTGCTAGGATATGAACTGTAACCACTAGTTCATATTAAATAGTCCTCTGAATGAAAGTATTCCGGGAATTTCAGATATTAGAGAACATAAAGTATCTATTAGCTCATTAAATGCATCTTCAGAGTCTCATACAGAGTGCCTTTAGCATAAGTATTTTCTAAAATTTGATGCAGTCTCTGGATTAAATTCCTTCCATTTTGGTTGACAGTTCTATAATCCAGTAAGTAGACATTAAGATGGGTTTTCTTATTATTTAGGTTTTTCATTAAAATTTCCTATTCCTCTCATTGATGCTATCATATATGGAAAAATTTCTGGAATAGGCCTAGAAGATGTAAATTGCAACCTGAGTCTATGCTAACTAGTTGTGTCCTTGGGAAGTAGGAAGGCACTGCATGGTTTTACATAATTCTTCCCACGCCTACTCCTTTTTTTTTTTAACCATTTATTTTAAATGGCTATTCTTATAGCCATTAGAATGTAAGCATCATGAGGCCAGGATTTTTTGCCTGATATGTTCCTTGTTGTATCCTGTGTGTCTCATACAGGGTCTGACACATATCAAGCACTCAATAAATTTTAGCTGGATTAATGATTTTTGTCTAAATGGTCTCCAGTTCTCTGATTCCACACTTAAATCTATATCTTCTCCCCTCTATAAACTTGTGTGTTTTAATTGAATTTTCCCCCCAAACTTACAAAGAAATCTCAGTCTTAGTGGTGATTTAAAATATCTATTAAAGTGTAATTGACGCATTGGAATATAATCCTGTTTTTCTCAACATCTTTTTATTATATTATTATCTACTGTCATAGCCTCTAGTCTTATGCTTTTATCAGTTCTCCTATTGGTTTAAATTATGGAATCATTTTACCATACTGTCAAGCTCAGTCCCTAGTAAATCTTCATTTCTCCTTGGCATTTTCTTAAGACTATCACTCCTTTGATGCTTAGTATTTTTTTTTAATATATTTTATTGATTTTTTACAGAGAGGAAGGAAGAGGGATAGAGAAGAGAGAAACATTGATGAGAGAGAAACATCGATCACCTGCCTCCTGCACACCCCCTACTGGGGATGTTCCCGCAACCAAGGTACATGCCCTTGACCAGAATCGAACCTGGGACCCTTGAGTCCGCAGGCCGACGCTCTATCCACTGAGCCAAACCAGTCAGGGCTGATGCTTAGTATTAATTGTGAAAGAGGATAATGTAAGAATGCTATAAATACTAGGTGAACCAGTTAATAATGCGGATTTTTTTCAATAGATGGAGTTACACATATGTTGATATATATGCAATTTGATATGTATGCTATTTTGTTGTATGGATAACAAGCATCAAAACTTCGTATGTCAAATTTTCTGAAGGTGTTAACATCATAGAAATTTTTACGTTTAAAAATGTCTAATTTCGTGCCAAAAAAGAGCATTTGCGGTAAGTTTTAATTCATTACTTTATTTTGAAGAAAAGTGCTGCTGAATACTTCGGGAAGCTTATGGTGAACATGCTCCATCTCAAGATACTTGTGAATGCGGGTTTAAACGTTTTAAAAGTGATGATTTCGATGTGAAAGACAAAAGAACGTCCAGATCAACCAAAAAAGCTTGAAGACCAGCAATTACAAGCATTATTGGATGAAGATGCGTGTCAAACTCAAAAATAACTTGCAGAAAGATTAAACATTGCTCAGCAAACAATTTCTGATAATTTACAAGCAATGGGAAAGATTTTAAAGGAAGAAAAATGGATGCCACATCAACTGAACGAAAGACAAATGGAAACCCGAAAAGTCATCAGTAAAATGTTGCTTCAATGGCACGAAAGAAAGTCTTTTTTTGCATCTAATTGTGACTGGCGATGAAAAATGGATTTAATTTTGAGAATCCTAAACGCACAAAATCATGGGCTGATCTAGGTCAACCATCAACATCAACTGCAAGGCCAGATCGCTTTGGAAAGAAGACAGTGCTCTGTGTTTGGTGGGATCAGGAAGGTGTGGTGTATTATGCGCTTCTAAAACCAGGTGAAACTGTTAACACTGATCGCCACCGACAATCAACAAACAATTTGAACCACGTTTTGATCGTGAAATGACCAGAATGTGCCAGAAGACATGGCAAAGTAATTTTGCTTCGTGATAATGCACCATCACACACTTCAAAACCAGTTAAAAATGCATTAAAAGATCTTGCCTGGGAAGTATTAACCCACCCGAAGTATTCACCAGACCTTGCTCCTTCAGATTACCACTTGTCCTGATCAATGGCACAAGCACTTTTTAAGCAGCACTTCAAAACATACGAAGAAGTGGAAAATTGGGTCTCTGAATGGTTTGCCTCAAAACAAGAGAAGTTCTATTGGGACGGTATCCACAAATTACCTGAAAGATGGGGGAAATGTGTAGCTAGCGATGGACATTACTTTGAATAAAGCATTTTTGATGTTTCTCTTGACATTATCATGTTTTCTTTGATTACAAAATCCGCATTATTAACTGATACACCTAGTAAGAAGGGTTTGAGTACATCTTTAGTTGATGAATATTATGATTGACTCTAGAATGTGTTAAATTATCATGCAGTAAATACCATTTAATCAATACAAAGCTAACTTATGACTTA